AACTTCAATCAACCATTTTCGCGTATTTTCTCCAGCATAGGGATGAAGCAGAACTCGTGATGGTTGCGTGGGATGGACGAATCATCCCGAGGAATCAAGGATGTCAGATTTGTTGTGCGCAGAAATCGCATCAATGTCGGGTTCGTAAGGCGACCGTAGATTTATATATAGCTCCTTCGAGCGAGCTAATCTCGGATAATCCGGAGTACATGACAAGTCTTCGAGATGCTTTTGATGTTACTGAGTGTGGTAGCTGGAATGGAGACAGGCTTAACCGGTACGAGGCTGCTCATTCTTGTTCGATACTCCTTCGAAGGATCATGGTAATAGGCAGGAAGAGTAAACGCTGTGTACTGAATTGCAAGTCGGGATAATCATGGTGCACACCTCGTTAGGGAGGTCCAGCAACCTAAAGGAGGTGCTTCTGGTTCAGCGTACGGCGCCTCCCATGGGGCCTGACCAATAATCGAAGATACGACATGTTATTTCTCTTAGTGAATAGACTGCGCGTGATCTACGGTAATGGAATAATAGTGTCCGGGATACGGAAATGCAAAACCAGCCAATATGGGACGCAAGTGACTGAGGAGAATATCTGGAATAACCCTTTGTGTAGCCGCGTTCATGGCACATATGCTGTGGATTTTCATTGCTACCAGCAAACCCACATCAGTACAAAGGCATTATGCTATCTCTTCACTCGCATCGCCTAACTCAGCGTTCGAAGTCAGTGACATATTCTACATTTCTTGCGTAAAATGTCTGCATGCTTGTTCCCGAAATCGTCCGTACACCTTCCACAACCAGTCTAGAAGCCCCCTTTACGATGATAGCCGATGCTTGAGAAACAAGCGGAATGCGAGGTTCATTCGCAACACGCCTAAGGCCCATCGCGCGCTGATATGATACATGAATGGGCTTGGGCTTGGTGTATAAGCCCAAACTCCCACATTAATCTGCCTTGAAGTCGCTAAGTGCATAATATTCCTGCATTCAACTTAATGGTATGAACCACTAGTAAGCTAAAAACGAAATCAATGCGGCAACTCAGATCATTCAAGGCCGTGGCGGACTCGCCGCGACCATACCAGCTCGTGGATCAGACATCCGTCGACTCCCCCACATCCGGAGTCGGTGTTCCAATTTCTCAATCCTCTGAAGTTTCTCATGATTAAGCCGTGGCATTTCGCCCTCGACTCGCTGGTTCTCAAATGTGAAGAAATCGTCGATCAGAATCAAGCGACTAGGCGGGAGAGATTTTCCGTAGTAGTCGTCAACTAGAATCGGATATCGATGAACGGCATTTTCCTCTGGCCAGTGCTCAAACAAACTCGCAAGTATATGGAGAGCCGGATGACCACGTTCGGGAATATCCTCCGCTATTAGAAGCGCTTCGGAAAGAGTAATGATACCACTGCAGGTCCGATAGCCGAAGGGTCGACTCGCATTGGGATATTGTATTTGGATTGAACGCGCAGAGCGATGATGCGGTATCGAGTTATACTTCATGTTCTGAGCACCGATAATGATAAAGGGATAATCGTGGAGAAACCACCCGGGCATCTGTCGTGTCGGATCTCTTTGATGCTCCTCGTTTGAAGGATCATGATTGCACAGATCCAATTCCTTTAATACGCTCTCTTGCCGCTTTTTCGCTAGATCTCTCAGCAAACGACAAGTATTGAATATGTTTCTCAGGTTACTGATGATAGGCGGTATATGTATGGCGTCTGGTTGGGAGGAGTGGTTTTGGTCGCTTTCGTCATCGTCGCCAGCACCGTAATGAATGACCCCAGGTATAGGTATGGTCATGCGCTCGATAATCATGACGATTAGCTCTAACGGAAGGTGCATTAAGCTCGAGCGTAGTGTCATGATCTTGGACTAGAGCGAGTTGGCTTAAATGGAAGCACAGAGAATTTTTCGTCTCTTTGCTGGGGCCCCGTTCACCAGATTTGTTCTATGATTTGTCTAATGCGATGACTTGATGGGGCGAATTGAAAATGAGAAAGTGCGGTGACCAACTCAGACGAAGGCCGTAAATGTTTGGTAAGATTGATTTTACGTAGTACGTCCTTCTTCATTATTCTTTGTCGCCAGGTGCATGATGAAAAACCAACACCGAAACTTGAGATGCTAACGAAGTTGGAAAAATACAAAGGCATTGTCATGTGCATGAACCCCACCAACACCACTCTCCCTGACAAAGAAGCAGTATCACGAACTTCGAAGCTGAAAGAGTCGATACCAACTTTATGCGCATGATGATTCGATTGTAATACCGTTCAACATTCCAATCATCCCTCGAAAAATGATCATTATTGGCTTCTAAAGCACGCAACGAACACGCCAAGCAATAAATCATGCCATTGCCATGAGACGCACTTTGAATATGTGCCTATAACTTCTCTGTGCCGAGATGATGAGCAATCAAATCAACCCAGATGGTGACGAATGCGTAGTAAAACAGGAGAGTGTACGACATGACAGGTCCTGATACAAGCTCAAACCTAGCACAAAATTAGGGAATTTTGACGCGGCTTCGATAACAGAACAAAACACGCAACAAAAACGAAGCATGTGATTCATGCCGGACGCCAAATAGAGACTGGAAAGCGGCAGAAAGTTAAGCATATTATATTGATATCTTGAATTCTTTAGTGAGTTAGTATGAATGAGAAGACGAGTATCCATATCTGATTAGTCGGCAAAGCGCAACAACTCGCAGCCACCATGCGTGCCAAAGCAACCCAACAGTTTCGCAATGGCGGAAGACTCGTCTGTGTCTTGCCATTGTAAACGCCAAGATCTCAGTTGATGCGCTACGTTCTTGATCCTTGATTGGGCGTCCTCGTTTAGGTGGCGGTTTAAATCTTGAAAGTCCCGATGATGATATCGGCTAAGCAACTCATATTGAACCAAGGGCTTGCTTGGAGCAGTCGCGTTGTCGGAATCATCAACCAAATACGGAACCAATCGACGCGACGGCTATGTGCCCACGGCACGAAGAATGTTGCCAAGCAGGTTTCGGCACAACTCTTAGCTCGTTCCAGTTCCCTCAATAATTCAACAACTTCTGATGAAAGGATCGTCGGGCTACCAACGCGCTCAAAAGCTCTGTAATGCGGAGGAAGACCCTCATTAGGTTGCGAGTCATTGTTGCAAGTATACAGATGTAGATGCCAGTGTGGATGGATGGAAAATCATTAGGGATACACGTTGAGGATGCATTGTCTGATTGCCTCCTCTCAGTGCGACGCGAGGTAGACGGGTCGCGGCGTCAACAGAAAGCCGAAGTCAGCTCCCGTGATATGTCTTGCTTGACCGTCTCCACCAAATCATTGAGCGTAGTGGAGGTAATACGTATACTTGCTACTGCCCTGTGCCCATACTCAACTTGTGAAGAAGAGTAGCCCTGAGCTAAGTGATGCAAGCTGTTTCAACAATCGCGAGATGTGCGGAGATTCGTGCCTTCCCTCGCCTTGATCCCAATTGAATTCCCATGCCCAGAATATGTTGCATAAAACTTGAACTTGCTCCTTCTCCCTCGGTTCAATCGAATTACTTTCGTTTGCAAATGCACGCTCGCCGGTTGCAAAAAAGCAGTTATATACATGTACTATAGGCTTGTATAGCGAGCCCAGGCCCTCGTAATTGTAGACCGATATTTGGTACTGATCAACAGAGCAGTCACCTTTCTGAGGAGCAAAGAAAGTCCTTATTTTGTCTTTAATGGAGCCGCTTTGTTCTTGCAATCTAGTTGCTTTCTCGTACGCATCCGAAAGTAGAATCGCCGGATAAGAAATGTAAGGTTCGCGACAAGGTACTGCACTGTGTTTGATACAGCTATCGCCTAGGACGATGAAAGAATGGTTCTGAGGATTGCGTTCAGTCTTTCCAGCGGTGAGACGTATAGCAGTATTCAACTCTTTCAAAATGTCCTGCTCGGCTGCTTGTACCAGATGCTCAATCATGGACAAGGCGACACGTATGTTTTGGACATCGCGGCTTGTGATGCGATCGAAAGGTAGTATTCTGCCGCTTCACATTGTGGTCAGTGTGGGATATATGCAAGAGAAACTAATAAAATCAGGTACAGACGTATATTGGACTGTAGGCTGTATTGAAAGTTTGATGATGATAATGCAAAGCTCGGCAAGATCCAAGAAATTGATCGTGCATTGACGGCGTTTATCGGCCGGAGATTCAGCGTGGGTTATTCTGAACATTGTTGCTAATTGAAGGGCATGATCTAGTCACCGCCGGAACTTTGTGTAGGCAAAATGCGTTGATAGGAGCATTCTCAGTGCTGAAAACTGGTAAGTGTGAGCCAAGGGCCTTAAAGGGGCCAAGATAGGGGTCTACATATACACAACTTCGTTATTAGTGCGCGGATTTCGAATAGCACAATCTGTGGAAGCCATTCTTTGTTGATATTTCATCTGTCATCCAACATTGGAATCTCGGTAACAGACTGTAAGAGGAAACAAAGGTTTTGTGATGCGTAGTACGGACCCCTATGGCAAAGGACAAAGAAGGTATATCGAGACCAACAGTAATAGTATCTCGGGACCCGCAGAGGGCGTTTCGGTGCTTGAAGCTTATCTCAGAAGATGAACATATCGAGTCGAACAGATCAGCTGAGCGGTTTGTCCATCCCGTCGTGCAGATTCATGTCAGTCTCATTGTCTACCTAGTGGCTGACGCAGCTTGTTCTGGCACGCAATGGGAAGTACACTGTACATTGCGACCATATCTGCATTCACGTGGCCCGCCAACCTACAACTCTCTACAAAGACCTATATCCCAGTGCATTATCTGTCTGATTTATGTTGATTATCTTCATACTTAGTAGTGAACTGACGAAGCATGTAGGTAGATACAAGTTTGGTGAATGTGGTACGGAGAAATATCGGCCAAGCTAGTGCTCGTGGACCAATCACAGCTCGAGAGATTGTGCTAGTATATAGGACCCAATAACGCGCCACTTAACCAATCAAGGCAACATGGCCGAGTTGGTCTATGGCGCTGCATTCAAGAGAATTGAACTCTTCCGTGTTCCGAGCACTGAATTTCGCAGTCTCGAAAGAGGCCAGGGTTCGAATCCCTGTGTTGTCAAGATTACTTTTTTTTTGCGTTTTGGCCTTGTGATCTGGATTTTGACCCTTCGTCCAGCTTTGTTTGATAATGTTTGCAAGGCCAAACATATCTCGCACATATCCTTGTGCGATCCCTGCGACGACGGCGGATGCGGTTCGGATCCCTGTCTTGCAAATATCACCCTCTCAACTTTTCCCTTTTCCTTTTCCTTTCTGTTTTTGTGCCAGACAGTGCACCATTTCCAGGGGCTTTTCAACCAGTATGGCCAGTGCTCTTCCCAGTGCACTTCCCATCCACGGAAGGCCTGTCGTCCAGCGCCTCTCGATCCACAATGTTAGATTGAGCTGACAAGAGTTGCTTACGCGTTTGTCGCGTCCGTTGAACAGAAGATTGCGCCTCTGGATTTTACAACATCCTTTCGCATCTTAGTTACATCTGCTTGCCGCTCTCCGTAAACCAGAAGCTGTCATCTCAGGATCATTATGGTGCCTACACGGGGTGTTAAGAGGGGCCACAGTGAGATCACCTCTGAAGCACGCGAAAAGGGTCCCAAGCAAACCAAGCTTTCTCACTCATGGTCACTGGCACCACACCAAACCACCTCATCGAAAACTTCTGATCCTGAGTCAACACCTAAACCTAGATCCAAGAAGCAGACAGCACCCAAGCCAGTGGTAATTAAGGCACCTGCTCCGGGAAAGCTCTTCAAAGATGCACTCAAGGCCGTTGACAAGACATTCAATCGATTGCTCAAGGCTTACAAGCCGAACCCGAAGGGCTGTTATGGAATAGTGAGTGGGAGATCAAAAAGCCTTGAACATGCTTGCCACATTCATATGACTGACTATATAACGAAGACTGCAGACGACTTCGCCAAAGCAATGTATGGTTTCAGCGGTGCGGTGGATAAGTTGCTCCAAGACAGCCCCTCGTTAGCATTGGATCTACTCCTGGACCTCGGGGAGCATGCGTACGGTGATCTCGAAGCATGTGTCAAGTCTAGCGGCTTCGGCGATACCGACGAGTTCTATCAGTCGATGGACAAAAAACTGGTCGAGGTCATCGACAAGCGGCGCGAGGCACAATCTTCCAGCACAGCAGACCAGTCATCCGAGATGCCAACAATGCCTGTATACAAGATTGAGCCTTCGAAGGCCGACTTCGGTGGCGAGGAGGATGCATTGCGGGAACTCATTGGCACCAAAGTACGGAGGAATAAGTCGGAGAACCGTGCTCTAGCACGAGCACGCATTTCGGATCTGAACGTCATGTTCGAAACGCGGCGGCGCAGACGGGAGACCACGAAGGACTGGGCAGGGAATGCGTTGAATGACTTGACAGAGACACAGGCGCGTATCGATGAATATGGAATCGGCGATCATTACTTTCACGAGAGTATTGGCTTACTAGCTTCTATGAAGGGGGTCAAGTGGCCACAATGAATGCTCACATTGGTAAAGCAGGGACACTCGTTCCATGGCCATGATTGTATTGTAATATTAGATTAGACTGAGGTCATTCATTGCACACTGAGCTTTATGTTGGCTCATGATCAGTAAGGTCAGGTCGAAACTGGTGAACGGGTAGCAAAGAAAGTCGTATCCTTGATAACATAGTCCCCGCGAAAGCCCGCTGCTCGTTAGCGGGTGGTCAGCGGCTGATGGCCACTGAGTTCTTCGAGGATAGCCGCGACATTAAGCTTCTCCAACTCGGCCAGGATCTCCTTCCAAGCTTCTCGGCGATATTTTTACCTTGCTTGTATACAACGGGGGCCAGTGGCTGGATCTTACAGCCTTCCAGATACTGCCCGTGATATCATGGCCCGTGATGAATGGCAGCGTCGACGAGGGTGCGCGCTCCTATCGAAACCGAACGTCCAAAGAGCTTCTTGAACATACCGAAAATGAAACCAGGGAGAGTTCCATCGGCGTCCCGTTGAAGACTGGAAATACAGAGACTGGGGTTTGGAAGGCTGATGATGGCGACAGTCGCGGGGACACGTTTAGTAAATTCGACGTGGAACAGTTGGAGGAGAAGCTTCGAGCTATAGTACCGGTCTTGATTGTTGAAATAAGACTTGGTGTCGAATGCGCCGAGGATAGATCATGCGTTTTGTTCTTCGAATTTGACCCATCTACGTGTTGGAGGTTAGCCATGATTCCTTTCAATTATATTTTTGCTTCTCGCGGTGTCTCGGGAGCTTGCATAAGTCAAATTGCAACTCAACACGAAAGGAAATGACTCCTAAAAGGTACTTACGACGCGACCTCTGAGTTTACCGACACTAAACGGCGGGCTTCTGAGGGGTGTTATTGAGGATGGGAACAACAAGAATGCTGAGTAAAGCGTGTAATAGACAGATGACTTGTATTGTTTCTTCATGTCCAGTGCTGTTATTAAGCTCGAAATGGAACTTGATGAACACATCCAGTCGATCAAGTGTTTGCAAGCGCTCCGCAAAAGATAGAAGGCTTTAGTAGCTTGCGAGATCAATACGCCAGGCTTCTACAGTCTGCACATGAGCAGGGTCCAAAGAACCCCTGCTCTTCAATATCTATTTCCTGGCGTGTTGGCCATTCTTCTCATCGCGCATGGTAAAGACGACGGGGGAAGCCCAAGGGAAACCACCTGCTTCGCGGTTTCAAGGCCTAAGCCCGCCAGTGATGACGACGGTTTTGCCGCTGAGGCTGACATCAGTCGCTGTGAATGGTGTATTGAAAAGCTGTCGCTTTATGTAAGCTGCGTGGCACGTTTTTTTGCGTGATGTTGAAATCTGGCATCGTTTCGTTTCGTGCCTTTCACAATTCAACAAAACAATCAGAGCGAAAGAGTGATAAATATCGGAGAAGAAAAAATCCGGTGGAAGTACCCCATAGCGGCTTAGAAATTCACAGAGCGTTGTCGCGAACCGGTGCTTTAGGTATGGGACGCAACGTAACCCCCCTTGCGTTGGTGTTGCGAAAGGGATGCTTGCTTCGCAGGCACCTGCTACAGTCTTCGCATCACTTTTGCGATGGCTTTTTCATGCGGTTACCGAGCCAAATGTGCAATTGATTTGGAGCTCTTGGATACTGTAGTCTTGCGACTCCCTCATTGCAGAATTGTTTGAGATAGGGTTTAGGTAGAGAAAAGGCGACATACTCAGCCCATGAGACAGCGACTGCTATCATCAATACGGTGCGTATAGAAGCAGCCGTGTCAATCCTCCGTGTGACTTGTTGTCGGGCGGTCGAGAATGTACCCCTCCGAGCAAGCCTGAGGGAAGATGATCGACGCCCACGCTAGAAGTATAATTCCATTCTAGGCTTTGTAGCAGATGTGTGATTGTTCACTTGGTGATAAACCCTAGGTGATTAGTGATTAAATTGGAAATATAGATCAAGTCCTGTCTTACCCTCCATGTAGGCCCAATGTGGATTACAACAAAGCGCAAGTGACTGGGTATTACATCGAGTCTCGAGTATGTGCAAGGCAATTGTATTATCCCAAGTGTCGAGCCTCGAGGGTGCACGGTGTGGATTTGCCGATTGGAATGCACATCAAAAACCAAGAGATATGCACCTCATCTCGTGTTGTGTATAACAAAGCCGAACTATGAAATATTCCTTCAAGGTCTTCATGGTGATGGGAGTACAATGTTGTCTTCTTCAATGTTGGGTAACTCTGGTAACTAAATGGTATGCTTTTCCACTTGCGGGCCAAGCTTCATGACAGCTGAAATCTCTACTAGGGTATTTTTCGAGACGGTGATCATGGAGTTGCCGCTGCGTGAACATGACTGAGGGCAATCTTGGCTTGATATCTAGCGATAGTGACATCCTAACAGCTTACTGTTATTATGGGTTTGTAGGTGACCGGACCAGACCCTGCCCCGAGTGAAAAGCGCAGTGATCTGATTTCATATGACGACAAGTTCGCAAAACATATCACGGCTAGGCAGCATTCCCGGATCACTGTACAAGGAAGTAATATTGACTTAAGAACTGTCAGCGAAGGGAGCTATATACGACAGAAGAACGGCAACTCTAGCGTTTGGAAGTGTCACCACACTGACTGCTGCAACATTTATGTTCATCCTAGCACCCCTTATCTTTCGTATTTCACTCATCCGCCCTGAGGACGATGCTGTTCATCCCTTGGACCGTATAACTCAAGCTCGCATTTATCGGCCAATGCTTGTAGCCTTTCATACTCCTTGAAAATATCTTCATACGGGTTCGGCTCATCGCGTCGTCCATCTGGTCCAGCTCCTCGCGCACCCGAAGCCTTCGTATTCTTTGTTGAAGTTGTCGGCGTGGTAGAGCGTTGGTTTTTCTTTCCCTTTCTGCTACTCCAGTCGGTAGTAGATCCCTAGTTCTGCGCTGCCGATCCGGGCTTGGGCTTACGCTCGTGCTGCTGACCCATCTCCCGATCCGTTGGGCGCTCCCCTATCTCTGGGCCATCTCTGAAAGTCGAAGCCTCCATCTTCTTGAGGCTGTTGGCTTCCTGCTTCTTCCGCATCCAGTCCTTGAGTTTGATCTTATACTCAGCATCAATCTCAACCAACTCCTTCTCGAGAAGGGCCTTGTACGCAGGGAAATCGCGCTCTTCCTCTTCATTGAACTCGGGGCACTCGTCGTCTTGATCCCGCGCACACTCTTCCTCATAGGTCTCGTTCATCCGCTGATCGATCCTGACAATCCTCCGCTTGATCCAAACTTCGCGATTCTTAAGTCGACGTAGCTCACCAGCGGCTCTCTGCTCCTCCTGTCTCTTCGCAAACTCCTTGTCGAAGGCCTCCTTTGACTTCTTGCCCCAAGCCTTGAGTTTCTCCGGCTGGGTGAGACACCAGATAATGAGCTGTCTGGTAGCAAATGCGTCCTCGAGACAGTCGTGACCAGACTTCTTCTTCTGGATTTCAATCCCCAGGAGTTCCTTGCAAAGTCCCTTTAGACCCCAGGTACGGTTCGGTCCGTCGCCATCCTTGCCGAATGCTGCATGAGCAGTGAGTACGAGAGAGTCAACTACTTTGTCGGTAC